GATGGAGTACACCGTCTGCTGTTGGAGAGTACCAAAATTGTCTTGTAAAAGTGGTAGAAATAGGTCTGGGGGTCAGTACAGTCAAGGTCTTGGAACATATCCCTATTTGTTACATTGTGAAGTGGGTTCCCTTTATGCGAATTTGAGTTATGTGCTGTTTTGCAGGAACACATGTACATCATAAAGCGAGGGAAACCCGTATTTAGCTTTTCCTCAGTCTTTTACATCAACTACTCAAAACAATAGTTTATGGGCTGATGTACTGATGTAGTGAAAATTCTAATATTATAAAAGCCTTAGTTTGTCTGTCAGTAACGCTTTCTTTACTTGCACTCTGACTGGTTGCTTCGGCAGTCAAGAGTGCTCTGGACAGAAAGAGGCACATGGTGGAGCACCGCCATAACAGCAGGGACTGAGGGGCCAGAGCGGGGGGAGGCGAGGCCAGCAGAGCTGGGCTGGCCCCCACTGCCCTGTTCTTTGGAGGCAGAGGGCAATGATGGGGACCAGAGCGCTGCCATGATGGAGGGGACAGAGTGGGAGGGCAAGTCCGGTCCCCCTCCCCCACCACCCTGCTCATTGGAGCCAGGGGCCAAAGTGCCCACCACCCCCACAACAGCCGGCAGGGAGGGGGAGGCAGTGGGGGAAAGGGAAGGGAGGGGGGTTACCGGTGGCTGCACCCCACTGCAACCACTGTGGTCACAGGCCCCAGCAGAGTGGGGAGGGGATGGGGGAAGAGGTGGGGAGCAGCCACGGCCTTAGCTCAAAGCAACAGGGGGACAGAAATGCCCCTGGCCCCAGCCCAAAGCAGCAATGGGGAGGCAGGTAGCAGTTGCAGCCCTGGCCCAAGGTGGGGAAGCCAGATGTAGGCCTCTGTCCCCACCTGCCTCCCCCCCACCGTCATTCTTGATGGGCAATTTGCTAGTATCACCAGAAAATTAAAATGCTAACTTCCCTATTTTAATCTGTTCATAGGAGGAAAATAAGAAAACCAAGCCAAAGACTATGACTATATGACGAAGATTCCAGAATGAAACTGCTAAAGAGAAACAAACACTTTTCTTATGAATGATTTTCTGTTCCTCTCCCATGTTACATGTTCCCTCGGAGTACTTGGCTAGGTCCACATGAAAAACACACTGCGTGCACCTACACGTCACTGTATGGCGATGCTGCTACAGCACCGTGCTTTAGTATTTCCTTTTGGCACAGTAACAGCACTCTTACAGAATGCAATATGGGCTCTTACTGTGCCATGCACATGGCACATAGCTAAATTTTGCAGCTACGTCACTGTAGTGGCGCGCTATACTGGAGGAGTGTGCTGCTACAACGAAGTAGCTGGTGAACATGTGTAGATCTACGTCACCATAGGGCAACGTGTATACGCACCCATTCAGTTAAAATGTATAGAAAAGTATAACAAAAAAGAAAATATATTTAAAAACAGGAAAGACTGGAGTGTTGTTATCTTTCAGATGGCAAAATTTTCTTATGGAATGCAACCACTTATACAACAAACAGCATTTAATTTACCTTTAAAATCACATTCAGAAAGAACCATATAAACCACAGTAGGTTCCAGGTCAGAAAACATTTCTGACATGCTGTTGAAGAGCTCTTCTTTATTGACACTGTACATTTCGTGTGACATGGTCGTATCTCTTGATGATGGTTCCAGGCCCTCAACAGTATTGACAGTTCTTTCAGAGTTCACAATTTTGCTCGAGGGACTTACACCAGGATTTTTTCGTTTCTTTGGCATTCTGTTTTCCAAGACCAGCTGCCTTTTTGTTTTACTTTGCCCACAAGGTTGATTATATCAAGTTCAGAGAAAACAAGATAATGCACTTTTCATATCTCCAATGCCCATATTAGCAGTAGCAGACCTAGAGGGAAAACAGTAGAGAAATATGCAAATGAATTTCTATGAATTTCCTTTTAAATATATGCAAAGAAGATCTGAAGTTTTTTTTTTCCTGAGAGTTGTTTTTCCTTCTTTCAAAGGGCCACAAAAAGCACATATACTTCTTTCTTTATAAATTAGATATTCAAGCCTTGTCTGAACACACAAGTGACTATAATGATGTTACAGAAGAAGAGCAAATGAAAAAGGAAGGAATATCAGGCAAAGAATTTAAAACAGAGGTCAAAAATGTTTTTAGGCAGTGCCAAAAACACCTGCAACCTCAACTTGTTAGATGTTGGCATGGTGGGGCAGATGGCAGGGGAGCCACAAGGGGCCCAATCCTTGTTGTGTCAATGAAGCCCCAGCCCCGCCCCTGCCATCCAACCCAAGGCACATGTGCTAAGCAAAATGCCTTCACACGCCATGCTCTGTCACCTGTGCAGGGGAAGGGGGTTGCCTACCCCTGGTTTAAAATACCTTTTTGTCAATACATGATTAATTTTGATGATTAGTTAATGTTCTGGGGAAATGCAATGTTTTCTGAAGATTGAGGACCTAGAGCCCTTTAATGAAGGTGCTAAAGATCATAGTAAACCCATCCAACATCTCCCAGAAGTCTTCTATCAAGACAAAAAAAAGAAATAGCATGTCTAAAGTATTAAAATAAACAGAAGTTTGATAAAAAAAAAACTTTCAGAACTATATTTATCATAAAAAGTAGAAAAGGAGAGAGGGGCCATCTCCCTTTTCTAAGATCCTTCAAATGCCACTTTTATGGAATAAAATGTAATAGCACATTATAATTATTGTAATCACTGCATTAACTAACATAAACAAACATAGTGAGATCTGCCTCTTCATAACGAAAGAACTTCAGTTTGTGGTTTTCTTTTCAAGTTGACAGTAGCTGGTAACACTACAAACTTAGTACAAAGAACTGTGTAGTAACCAGGATCCTGAAACAGCTGGCTACAAATCTAAGAACCTTGGATTAATTACAGTGAACCATCACTAATCCATGATCATATGATCAGTGATTTTAAAATAAGGTATTTTTCTACTTAAAAAGAACTGTCCCAGTGATGGCCATCTTGATTGGTCCACCAACAATCTAGCAAACATACTTAATAATTTACTAGTACACTTGACTCTTCTCTCCCTGGGTCATCATCAGGCCATGTATGAGGATAGCATCATCTTTAGTACTACAGGATGGTAACAATCCCTATTATTCTTCAGTGATCTCTTCTGGTCACTTGCAAACACACACAATTTTAAAGGTTCCAGAGGAACTGGTGGCTGCCCACTTGGGTTGTAGAAAGTTAAATACAAATACGGGATCGTCAAGAATCTCAGAAAAAAATGCTGCCTCCCTATAAAAAAATGAGGTGGAGCTCAGAGAGATTTTAAAAAGGAGTCTGAAACAAACAGGATGTCAAGAAAGAGTGAAGCGAGTCATGAGACGAAAGAGTGCACAAAATCAGAAAGAGAGAGATACTTCACTTCCAAAAGTAAAGGAAGAATGGTAATGGATGAGAAATTGAAGAAAGCAAAAGAAGAATCAGAGAAAGAAGTAAAATAGTATAATAGATAACTCTTTGGGTCACATATTTCTTTGTTATGCTTTTTCTGAAACTGGGTGTCTAATTTCTCATAAGCATGTTTTAAATTTTACTCATTGGCTAATATTAACTTTGAAGAAGAAAAAATATTTTTCTCCTTACAGCTTCCTATTTTCTTGGACTTGATGGCAGAGCTTAGCTAAAGCTAAATAATGCCACATGAATATTAAAAAGAAAAATCACTCCTGCTTCACAAGAGAGCTTAGCCCTTAAATCCATATTACTAAACCTGAGATGAGGTGAGAAAAACATTTTTGTAAAGTTATTTCAGAATGCTAAGTAATTAGTCTTTATTCTCCTGCAGTTATGTCAGACCAGAATTGATGTTTCCAAATGTACAGACCCAACTTCCACACACATTTCTTATATATCTGTTAATCTAATTTCAAAGTAGAAGTTGCTCTCCCTCTTTTTAGAAGGCCAGCATTAAAATAAAAATGGCCGTTAGTAACTTGCACAAGCTGAAGTGCTTTTTGTCAACCGTGTGGAGAATATTATACGTTGTTTTCATTATCTTTCTTTTAGTTTTGAAGGATATTGATCTAAATTTGAAAGACTCCAGAATCTCTAGGTAGTAATTTATTTATATAATATTAAGTAGAATAAAAACGTTGGTCAAGGGCTTAGCAAATCATGCTACATATACAGGAGCTAAATCAGAAGGCAAGACTGATCTCACTTCACATTTTTTACAATATTAGAACTAGAGAATATACAATTAAATTATTAGGTAACAAGTATAATAAGACAAGCAGAAGTTATTTTATAGGCATTGTATAATTAATTTATGAATCTTATTGCTGCAAGATGTTGTAGGGGCTGGTAGTTCAACCATGTTCATAACGGTTGGATAAATTTATGCAGGATAGGCCCATCAATGGATATTAAACATGATAGCTGGGATGTATCCCCCACATTAGGATTTCCTAGACTCCTGAATGCTGGAAGCTGTAAAGGAAAATGTGAAGAGACAAATCAATCTTGATGGGTCCTATATTCATACACCTCCTTCCCTCAGCATCTTACTGTCACTGTCAAATATGGGATACTGAGCTCGACAGACATGTGGTATGACCCAGTATAGCATTTCATCTTCTTGAGCTCCTTATCCTCCAATTTCTCAAATTCCATATACTATTCAGCCCCTGAAAAAGTTAGCAAAACTAATGTTACTTATAAAATGTGAAAAAAATTCAGGTATCTACAACTATCATACAAGGTTTTTTGGGTAAATGTGATATCTTTCATTAGACCAATTAAACAGTTGGAAGAAATTGTTCTTTGCAAACTTCCAGGCACAAACATCCTTCTTCAGGCACAGGGAGAATCTGCTGGTGACTCCAGATTACAGATAACCCTTCCTCTACAGCATTTCCTATTGGCTGGCATTAGACCGCCACTCATCATGCTGACTGTTGTGAATCTCAGTCCTACTTCCCTAAATCTCTCCTTTTAAAATGCAAGGAACTTCAGCACTTAACTGCAAATTCCACTCCTGGAACCAGATACCTAACTTTAAGGCATGGGATTGCTCAGAGCCCATACACCTAAGTCCCTCTTTTAAATCTAACCCAGAGTGTATAGGGGCCTGTCTAGAACCCTAATAAACATTCACCATATATCTAGCTTCTCAGTAATTAAAACTTCTTTTTGGCAGAATTAGCTGATACAGAAAAAATTAAATAAATTTCCAACAACCCTGATACACAGTGCCTGCACTTCAGTGATCAGAACTGCAGGTCAACCTCGGACAAGCACCTAGCTGACCCCAGCACTCTTTCCTGCCCAGGACAGGGGGTCAGGTCAGACTCAATGACCTACTGAGATCCCTTCTGACCCAAACATCTATGCATCTATGAACCTCAACTATACATTCTGGGAAATACAGTATGAATCACCCTGTATTTAGCTTTGTGTATTGAGCTCAGGATAGGAGTGCTTCCCTAGATTAAAATGGGACAGTAATATCATGGTGATTTAGACATAGTGATGGATAGGGCTATGCTGAACCCATAGAAATGGAATTCCAGATAATTAGCCAGAGACTGTTATCTGCTCTGTAGTTCATGATTCAATACTAGGTACCTCTGTTGTACATGTATCCAATTAAAGTAAACCACTGTTTCACTTTAGCATTGATGAAAGGCAATGTTCCTTTGTGGCACAGGTCTCAGCTTTACTTTTTTTCCTCCTTCAAATGAGCTTTTCAAGGACAGGCATCTCTTAGCGTTAAAAATGCTCCCACTCAGCTATATAAGACAGCACATGTAGAGAAGTCTACTTTTATGAAAATTACCTTTCAATGAGCTGATAAATGAAAGCTATTGAGAAAAATGGATTTTCATGGCTAAAAAGATTAGCTAATAGTCTGAGCATCTCAGATGTTTTAAGGGCTGCAAATTTACTGACTGGGTAGTATTGGATTATTGGATATGTGCACGGGACGAGGGCAGGCACCCTGGGTGCCAAACTTTGTTGCTATAGCACTGATTCAGTCTGCCATGAACATAAAGGACACTTCCAATTTTGGAGGCTGGTGCTTGAAACTGTTGTTTTATTTTGGTACTTGGAGATTTAACTTTGAACAGTGAAGATGGCAAAAGTTTTCTTGGGTCTCTCTGGTTTGCTTCTGCCATTACTCTCATTCTCACTACAGGAGTGAATCCTGGTCTTGCCACAAGATGCAAAATAGTGGCAGCATTTGGGCTACCCTGGAGCATACTTCTTAACTTGATCAGGACAAATTATTTCATCCAGATTTTCTTGCTCAAAAACTCTGTTCAAAGTTGAACCTCAGCCTTTGCTTCTTAAAAACTACAATGTTGCAGTTTGATATTTACATATAGACACAGGTGCTTCATTTCATAGTAAGAAAAGGAACCATGAGAGGGGCAAGAAGAAGCAGCTTTAGTTCCACCCTACAGTGCACACTGGCTACTGAAGCAACACCAATGGAGGGTATGCTCAAAGTGAGGGGGCGAGTTGGGACCAGGAGTCAGGGCCATTTTCCTCAATCTGCTACCCAGTCTACGTCAGGATAGCACAACATGCTGCCACTTATTTGGCTCTTACTATTCACTGCTATAGCAAAAATGATAATAATGGCAAAAGCAAACATGAGACCCCCCAGAAAATGTATGTCACCTTAACTAATCATGAAGTATTTTTTCATATTGGTGTGCACAAAACACAGATGGCTTCCTCCATTAAACATGGCAAGATTCTACTCATGTACAAAGAGATGCTGTCATAAACTTAAATGATGTGCATGCAAATACATTGTTGATATATTCAACGTACAAGGAAGAAGTTTGCTCATTCTCTTTCCATTCATTTCAATAACTGCTGTTTCTTTCTT